AGGCTCCGCAGCTGCAGCCTCCGCACGTCCTGCTCCTCTTTGGCTGCCTTTGCCTGGAGGAAAGGCAGGGCCGGGTCAGCATGGGCGTTTGCTGCCCTGACACACGAACATGCACACCCTAGCTGAGCAGCAGGCCAGGGTGATTCAGATGGCAAAGCCAAGGTTACAGGAGAGACCAGCGGAGCATGCTCCATTCATTCTTTCATTCATCCACTCATCAAACCATGATCAACTGCCTGCCAAGAGCATAGTCTATGCTGGGAACTCAAAGCCTAATAACACAAAATCTCAGCCAGACGGAAGCTTCCTTAGAAAGGGAGATGAGAACTCCTCCCACTCCCCCTGCAGGCAACACACAGGGACCAGGTGGGGATGGCCCAGTCCCACTGTGTGAGCCCATCACCCCACAGGACCCCAGCCTCAGCCCCCCACATCTCACCTCCCGCATCCAGGCGTTGAAGGGCCTCTGCCAGGAGCCAGCCTTCTCCAGGTGGAGGTAAGCGTTGAAGAGAATCAGGTAGACGTAGCGCTCCAGGTACTGCAGGCTCCGCAGCTGCAGCCTCCGCACGTCCTGCTCCTCTTTGGCTGCCTTTGCCTGGAGGACAGGCAGGGCCGGGTCAGCATGGGCGTTTGCTGCCCCGACACACGAACATGCACACCCTAGCTGAGCAGCAGGCCAGGGTGATTCAGATGGCAAAGCCAAGGTTACAGGAGAGACCAGCGGAGCATGCTGGTGAGAGCCTGGGAGTGAGAGACGTGGCAGGTCACCCAGCCTCCCTGGACCTCCATCTCCTCACTGTGAAATTGTAACCACTGTCCTGTTCTGAGGACAACCAGAGGAGGATGAGCTATCCACAGAAAAGCTCTGTGCAGACACCCTCCATGACGCCCAAGGTGTGGAGAGGCCCTTCCGGGTGGCAGGACCAGATGCCCAGCTCTAACCACTAGGGAGGACCATCACTGCTAACTCCCGTCAGCCCCGAGAGGGGACATGTCCTTCCCCAGCCTCCAATCCTCACAGGACTAGAGGTAAGATGCTGGCTCCTCTCTCTCGCTGGCCCCTCGGGGAGGCGAGCTGACGGCAAGGCTGGGCTCTCGGGGCTCTGACTTCCGGAGGCAGCACTGACCTGCTCCCTCCTCCTCTGCCTGGGTTCCCCAGGTGGGTGGGTTCATCTCAGACTGGGGAGGGGATTCCTCTGTCCCGTTTTGGCCTCTGGGCCCAACTGGTCCCTAACTGACTTCTTTGCCTGTTTCTCAGATGGCTCGGGGTCAGAGGCTAACTCCCGTCAGCCCCGAGAGGGGACATGTCCTTCCCCAGCCTCCAATCCTCACAGGACAAGGATGGTAAGATGCTGGCTCCTCTCTCGCTGGCCCCTCGGGGAGGCGAGCTGATGGCAAGGCTGGGCTCTCGGGGCTCTGACTTCCGGAGGCAGCACTGACCTGCTCCCTCCTCCTCTGCCTGGGCTCCCCAGGTGGGTGGGTTCATCTCAGACTGGGGAGGGGAGGAACCCCATTTTGGCCTCTGGGCCCAACTGGTCCCTAACTGACTTCTTTGCCTGTTTCTCAGATGGCTCGGGGTCAGATGTGGAAGGGATGACCCCAGCCCTCACGCTCTCCAAGGCCGGGGACAGATAATGAGCGAGAGAGGCCACTGGGCCAAGGCACAGCCAGAGATGAAGCAGCACGGGGAAGGGACAGAGCTCAGGTGCATGGCGGGGACGCTGTGGGGCATGTGTCTTTAGCAGCACCCTGCGCACCTTCTGTGGGGAATGGCACCAGGCCATGTGCTGGGGAGAGGGGGACAGCAAAGCAATTGAAAGCAAGTTTCCCAGAGCGCACGGGAGTGCAGCCAGGCCATGAAGGCTGTGGACGTGGGCAGAGAGAATGTGCTCCAGATGGGGCAGCACAGGGTGAGGATGGTGTCCGGCGTGTGGAGACCATGAAGGGGCTGGCCTGCTGGGAGCACGCTGCTGAGAGATGAGAAGGGGAACTGGGTGGGACCCAATTATGCAAGCCACCTGTGCCACCCAGCCCATGCCTCCTCCAGGTCAGCAGTTCTCACTGTCCACGAGAACCACCAGCAGCTTTGAAATGCAGATGCCTGGGCCGCACCCCAGACCAAGCAAATGAGAATCTCAGAGGGGTGGGGCCTGGGAATCGGGAATGTTAAAAGCTCCATGGCCAGGATTGAGCACAGTGGCTTTAGCACTGGGGAGCCATTGAAGGTTTGGGGGTGGGAGTTATCTGTTAACAGAAGACTCGTGGGAGATTCATGCTCAGGAGGAAGGGGACTTAAAGAGGGTCCTTTCAAGGTTCTCCTCAGTGTGGGGGGGATCAGGGGGCCAGGCTGGGAGACAAGGCCCAGGACATAAGCAGCCAGGCTCTCCTCCTGCAGGGCACTCTGCCACCATGCCCGACTCTGTTCCTCTAACCCACCACAGGTGAGCTGCTCACCCAGCCCCCGCGCACGTCCCATGGAGAGTGGAGGCCACATCTCACCTTGCACCCATCCCCTTCCTGCCCCACCCCCAGGCCTCCACCTGGGCCCAAAAGGGTCATCCCTCAGGTGCCAGCAACACCCATGGGAGGGCACAGCAAGCCCCAGGCCTTGGGAGCCAGGAAGGGCTGGTCTCCCAACAGCTGGGCCACAGCTGGAGGAAGCCTTTCCACGCAGACATACAATGTTGGCTCCATGCGTCTCCTCGTCAGCCACTATAGGGAGGCTCTGGGGTGGGCCCCCCACCCCGAACATGACAGAACCCACAGCCCAAGAATCAGAGCTGGCAGGGGCCTGCACAGGGCCTGTGCTCCCCACCCCCGACTCCTGCCTTGGGAGCCTCTGCTGTCTTGGCTCCCAGGGTCATGTGAGTGGAAGGTAAGTTGCAAAGCCCCATCCAGAAGCTCTGAGGGCCTTGGAGATGGTGCACTAGGCCCAGGAGGGGCGAGGGGACCAGAGCCAGTGCTCTGACTCCCTGAGAGACACCAAGTCTCCCGAGCTGGGTTCTGATTCCTGTTCTGCTGTTTAAACTCTTAGCTCCCAAGTCTGTGGAGGAAGGATTTCTCCATCAAGTAAGGGACAAGGAGGCACCTGTAAGGGCTGCAGGGAGCCATTCATTCACCAAACAGGGAGGAGCATCTGCACCACACTTGTCAGGAGCCACGTGCTGGGGACGTGAAGACGAATCAGGAGCACAGGCCCCGCCCTCTGGGAGGCTCACGGTCTGGGTCTGGGGGTGTCGGGGAAGGTAACTGCCAAGCAACCAGAGCAGGTGTACCACAGGGTCGAGGAAGGGCAAGCAACGGCTAGGGAGGGCGCAAGAGGGGCTGACACCTGCGGCGGGGGGAGGAAGAAGAGGCAGCACGGGGCCTGGGAGACACGGGGCACACGAAAAGTAGGAAGGGGGTCCAAGAATGCAGTGTGTCCCCAGATAGACGGAGGGGAGGAGCTTGGGGCAGCAGGGGCAGGGTGATGGGGGAGGCCAGGGCCCAGAGGGGGTGTGGAAGCCAAGACTTGACCCTGCAGACAGAGGCAGTGAAGGCTGCTGCTGGGTCTGAGGTTGGGAATGGCCCCGTGGCTGCTGTAGGAGAATGACTGGTGTAGGTGGGGGCAGGCTGTCTATTGTTCTAAGGATTAACTAAGCATGTGCTCAAAAAAACACATCAATTTTGCTTAGAAATCAGGGAGTAAACAAACAAACAAAAGATTTTACCTAAATACAAACTATGCCCAGTACAATGCGACCCTGGCTGTCTCCAAGGAAAGATAGCTCACGCCACACTGCATCTGGGCACTCACCACGCCAGCCCTTAGGCTGCTTCTATCCTTCCCCAATCTCCATCCAAAGGCTTGGAGCCTACTGAAAAATGTTTTCTTAGAAAGGAAGAAAGGAAATCACCCAGAGTTCCACTGAGCAAGAGCCATTTTAAACCGTTTCAATTAAAGAGCTCAGAAGAAACATCCTGTGGCATGGAAAGCCCTCAGCTCTGGGCTTGGCCACGGACACAGCCACACCAGTGCTATCTTCTCCAGGCTCCACTCCCATGGGGACAGAGGCCCGCCTATTCCCAGAGACACCGGCAAGGATTAGGTCTGAGGAATATTCTCTGGGGTGGAGAGGTGGAGTGATTCTTTCTAAGCCCTACTGGCAAGGGTAGAATTATCTCCAAATTCAGACCACTGTGTAAAGGTGACGCCTGGCACCCCCGCAGAAGGTTCCGTGGGCACATCCTGCCCAGTCGCAGGTCTGTGATTTGAGACGATGACCCACCTTCCTCTCACGGCCTTGGTTTCCTTAAACCATCCCATGTTAGCACTGCCTGGGGAGGAAGATGGGCCGGCCACCTCCTGTCGATAAAAATAGTGGAGCTGGTTCTAAGTGGCCTGACAGGCCAGGCTGTCATTAGCTGTGGTGGAGCCAGACAAAGCTTCCTCATTCATTGGGACTGAGCCCTTAAATAGAAAGGGGCCAGAAGAGGTGGCCAGGGCTCTGGGCCCTTCAGGCCTCTGAAACCTCCAGTCTGCCTGTCATGAATGCAGGCCCAGTACTGCCAGCGGGGATCTCGAAGCTCAGCTCTTTGCTGGGCCACCAGGAAGAAGTCCACTGAGGCAGGGCTGGGGAGCCTCCCCGGGCTGACTGCACAACAGGAGCAAATGTGTGCCCAGGGTCTGCTGCGTGCCACGTGCCCAGCTGGGCACGTCACAGCCTGCTCTCATGATTAGATTCTAATACACTCTCCTAGCAATCGCGAGAAGGAAGTGGGACATTGTGTTTGCAGATGAGGCTCAGCAAGGTCAAGTAACTGCCCAAAGTCACAGAGTACCAGGCTGGGACATGAACTCCAATACCCAAGTTCTTCCTACCACCCTAGCCCAACCCCTCCCTGCCTCACTCTTGCCTCTGTGCCTTTACCCAGTCTGTTCCTCCTGCCTGGAATGCCCTTCCCCTCCACCTGGCCTGGCCTTCCTCAGCTTGTCCCTCTAGGCCCAGGAAAAGCCCCCAGTCCCCAAAGCCTGCTGCGGGCACTCCAGCCCTCACGGCCCTGCCCTTCTTGGTCCCCTCTGCTCTCAGCCTGAACCTTTCAATTAAACATTGCATTGCATTCCATCCTGAAGGTTTCTAATTGCTTCACCAAGACGTCTGTCTCCCCAAACAGCGATAAACCCAGGGGCAGGCACCAGACTACAACCAGGTTTATCCCTCCCTCTTCCCCCCACCACCCCGAGGGTCTTCTTTGGAGCTCGGTATGCAGCAGGTGCTCAGCTGGCCGTAGTTCATCTCGTACTGTCTCACACTTTCCAGTATCATCTAGAATCTAGATTCTGGACAGACGCAGGGGCCGCCTACGTAGGCACCTGCCACTCAAGTGCGTCACACACTGACAGGTCGAGCATCCCAAACTCACAAAACATGTCCCAACAAACCTCCTGAGCTCTCCCCAAACCTGCTGTGCCCACAAGTTTGCCCATCTTAGTGGCAGCTCCGTCTTTCCAGCTTCCCAGGCCACAACCTGAACCTGCTGCCTCATTCCCCCTTCCTGACCCCATGTCTAATCAACCAGGAAGCACCACGGGCTCCACTTTAAAACACTTCCAGA